ATGGCCCACCTGGCTCCCGTTACTACCGTTGACACTCATGCTTTCTGTAATGTTTCCAAAATCAATAAAACACAACTAAAAGTTCAGTTAGTAAACTGCAACTAACAAGAGCAACAATTCCATTTGACTACAAATTCGCAAATAACACCACTCCCCGGCAGCGGCGTCATTTTGATGCTTATCTTGACCAACGACACTAACCTACGGTATGAGTGTCTACGATCGTCGATAATATAGTTACCCAACCAAGGGTTGGGGTCGTGTCCCAAGGGAGCGGTTTTGAGAATTAATAACCAATTAGAATTTCATTCAAGTTAGTCGTAGTTAAAGACATTTGCGATAAAAGATATTGTAAATTAAAGAGGGTGACACAAAAGTGTCAAATATCAAAAAGGGATTTTGTAACATGTATTAAAAAAACAAAGTAAACAAGAAAATCAAGTATGGGGAAAGGTTCCTGGGATGTGACCGCAATACAAGTTGAGATAAATTGTTGGGTACATGCTTTCGATAAGAAATTTGCAAAATAATAGTGACTAGGCTAAGCTTTAAATGGAAATAAGTTCCCTCTCAGGCTGAACCTCATGGCGACCCACTCCTTAGGCCATCAGTCTAGTGGTTTTGGTTTCGCGACTTCCCTCTCGGGCAAGCTGAAAACACATGGGTGGCTTTGTATTTGCTACTACAAACCCTTTATATTAAACAAAAACCACTAGGTGAAATCACCATTAAAATACATCTAACCTATCAACAAGCAAGACCCAACAAGAATATCAACCCATATTTGCTAAATCACACCCCAAGAATGGGGGTTTTTAGCCACATATCAAGAAATAAGAAATTATACCTAACATGATAATGAAATCAACTGTTATAAGAAATTAAACCTTGAATTAAGCAAATGAAGATGAATAGAGAAGACCCACTTCCAACTTGGGGAAGAAAAACTCATTTCTTTAAGACTTCACAAAACCCTCTCCAAACTCGAGAGAAAAATATCAGCTAAAGTATGTTCTAAAGTGAAAATAATAAAAATAATTGTTCCACCCTTGTCTTTTTTACTACAATTCTAAATAGTATTTATAGTTTTCACATATTGTGTTGCAGAGGATTGTTCGGCGACATTAGTCGAGATCGCCGATGAACTCGGCGATCCGCCCTTTGGTCAGCTCATCACCTTCAGTGTCTTATATTTATCCTCGCATTCTGGATCATTGGGCGGTACAGCACTGCTTCGCGGAAATTATCGGCGACTCGCCGACTGCTCCTTTCCTCGCCTTTTGATCCACTTCCTTCAAGGCTTCCCGTACTGGAACGAAGGGCGGTACATGTTGTTTCGGCGACTCGCCAAGTTAAACTCGGCGATCTGCAGGATTCCATTTCTTGTTTTTTTCAGCCCTATTTGCTCCGTTTTGCGCCTAAGTGTCCATGTTTTCACTAAAACTTCAAATACCTGAAACTTCAGCATTTTAATCAGGTATTGAGATAAAACAAGAATTCAAGGACACTATTTCCATTAAAATAAAGCCCTAAATGAGTCCAATTTGTGGACTCATCAGCCCCACCTATTTTTCGTCGTTTAGCCCGTCTGAGTCCTTTTAAAGTATATTAATACTCCTATCGATTATAACTACTATATATGACTTCTAAACATCTAGAAATCATCCTTAAACATGAATCATAACCTTGAATCCATAAATTTAAATTCAAGGTAGAGCTAAGAGTCAAGTCTTGAGAGTTCTTCGAGTCTTTTCAAAAAGTCTTTTACAATTGTTTTAAACTTGTTTTAAGATTTGAGCATTGAGTTGAGTAAAGAGTAAGGGTGTGTTTGGTATGAAGGAAAATGTTTTCGTGGAAAACAAGTTGATTTTTGATTTATTTTCTCATGTTTGGTTGGTGAGTAGAAAATATTTTCCGGAAAAGATTTTTTAGTGTGTGATTTATGAATGAAAATTATTTTTGAGAAAATATCTCTTTTTTTACTAGAGAGTAGAAAATAATTGTTGAATTGAAATTGAATTTTTTTTAAAAAAATAAACTTAATTTTTTTTTGGGGTGGGTGTCGGGGAGGTGGGGGGGGGGGGGGTAAGAGGTGAGATGGGGTAAAAAAAATATTTGAAATTAATTTATTTTAAAAAAGAAAAAACTTAATTTATTTATTTTTTTTGGGGGGGGCGGGGGGGAGGTTAGAGGGTAGGGGTGGGATGGGGGTGAAAAATAAAAATTGAAAATATTTTTTAAAAACAAACTTTAATTATTTTTTTGGGGGGGGGGGGGGGGGGGTCAGAGGGTAGGGGTGGGATGGGGGTGAAAAAATAAAAATTAGTAATATGTTTTAAAAACAAATTTGAATTTTTTTATTTGGGGAAGGGGGGGGGGGGAGGGGGCTGGTAGTGGGGGTGAAAAAATAAAAATTGGAAATTAGAAATATTTTTTAAAAAACAAACTTTAATTTTTTTATTTGGGGGGGGGGGGGGGGGGAAGGGGGTCGGAGTAGGGGTGGGGTGGGGGTGAAAAAATAAAAACTTGAAATTGGAAATATTTTTTAAAAACAAACTTTAATTTATTTATTTTTGGTGGAGGGGGAGGGGGGCTGGTAGTGGGGCTGGCGGGGAGGGGGAGGGTCAGGATAGGGGTGAAAAGCCAAAATTTGAAATTGAAAGTATTTTTTATAAAAAAAACTTTAAATTTATTATTATTTTGGGGGTGGGGGTGTGAGGGTAGGGGTGGGGTGAAATAAAATTTGGAAATTGAAAATATTTTAAAAAAACAAAAATATTAAAGTATTATTATTTTTTATGGGGGGGGGGGTAGGGGCTGGTGGGAGGGGGGTCGGGGTGAGGGTGGGTAAAAATAAAGTAAAATTGAAGTTGAAAAATATTTTTTAAATATAAGCTTTAACAAAAATATTGTAATTTGAAATTGAAGGAAAGTTTTGGAAAATGTTTTCCTTAAGTTTTGAAGAGATATCATTTTCCTTGAATTTGAGGAAAATAAGTTGATTTGGAAAACATTTCCAAAACATTTTATCCAATCAAACATGAGAAAATTGGAAAACATTTTCCGATATACCAAAGACACCCTAAGAGTGAACTTCATTTCCTTAAAAATGATATATGGGAACTAAGTATTCCCAAAGAGTAAATGTTTTCACATTTAAGATGAGAGGAAACCCTGATTTCCAAATGAGTTTTCATGAGTAATTTTGAGTTTCATCTCTTTTAAGAGATAGATTTTGAGTAATAATCTCAAACCACAGATAAAGAGTTATGTTTTTAAACATATGAGATAGTCGCAATTTGGGAGTAGTATTGAGCACCGATATAGGGACGAGTTTAGATAACTCAAGTCTCCATAAACCATGTAGCCAACGTGGGTAGAAAGGGTCATACTTTTTATATGATTCCTTAATGATTTTAAGTATAGCTTAGTGGATCCACTTATTTGAGGCGTTCTATATCCCAATAAGGTATATGACAGTTCTGGCAGCGTAGGCGAGACGTTGTATCATCACATAGCTCATAGTGATGGTTGTCCTTTAGAGAATCTCCCAAACAGAGTTTACTTTTGAAATTTTTATATACAATTGTATTTTTAAAACGTGTTAATACAAGTGAGAAAAAGGAAAAGACCAAAATACCCTTTCCTAAAACGATTGGATCCAATGCCTTAAATGGAGAGACTTCACTCAAACAACCATAACGTTTTACTCGGAGCTCGAAATTTAGCAAACTTGTCTGCATTGGAAAGAGGACTCAAAGACCTTCAATTTAATAGCTCATGGGCCACCCAATTCTTTATGTGTTAAAAGATATGGTTGATTGAAGTTGAGTCAAGTAAAAATCTCATAGTGAAACTCAATCGATAAGAAAGCTTTCAACTCCACTTTATGCTAGGGGAATCTAATGACCTTAACACTTAAGAAAATTTAGAGTCACTCGGTATAATATTATTCACAAATGAAGAATGATTTGAGTTTTTACTTTAAAATTTTCGGAGTGTTACATGAGGAGTTTCTACTTAAATGAGTTTTGAGGGAAAATGACTTGGTCTTAAAGAGTTGAAAGTCCTTGAGAGCTGATTCGAACAAAGAGTGGTAAAAAGCCCTTTTCTTGATTGAGGGGTGCGTGTGAAGTTGAACAAGACCATGTGGTTCCAAGTCTGCACAAGCAATAGGTGTGACTACTTATAATAGAAAAAACATTGGGTACTCATTTACTATTTAGTTTTCTTACTAATATTTGTATTTGGTTCTAGTAATATCAGTGATCTATCAGCTAACAATGTCAAAAGTTATCAAATTTTGCAGAAACTTTATGTCCTTATCTCGTATGGTTATACTCGAGATATATGCTTAGAATAGTAGTGATATTCAAATTGAAGACGTAGCATATAACCATTAAGACAATGACACAAAGTTACAACAAATTCTTAATATTCTTCGTAAAATAAACTTAAAGTTCAGTACTAAGCACTTATCTTAACATATAATTTGACCTTTTAGTTATATATAATCTCATTATAACTTCTCACCTCATTGATGCTCGTGTCACCCAGATGAGAATCGTTTTTCCAGCAAATATCCTCGTAGATTTTTGACAAAACCCTTGAGCCCCACGAGTTCACAACAAATTTGATTATCAACAATGCCGAATCAATTTGTTGCTTATAAACCAAATTTATCATAAAAGATATTTTGGGATGAAAATAAATTCGTCAATCAGTAATCCCCAAAGCATGAGTCACTAAAAGTATATAACTACAAATTTAATGCTGCATGGTAACTAAAATAAAGTTATATTCACTACGAATATTTTGTCCTCCCTTTGCCAACTTGTAATTCTCTACTGCTCCCTCCCCTAAACTGCAACCAATAAAGAAAAAACAGCAAACAGAAAAATATTAATTAAAAAATCCTAATTAATTTTATTCAGAGTAAAATAAACCATAAACTGTTTTTATAATTTTAAATGAAGTATATACTTACCATCTGACAAGAATTAAAAATTGAGAAAGAGAGCATTCTTGATCTTATCGATGGTGCAAAACATGAGTTTATTGACGGAAGCAATAGATTGAGGAGAAATATTTGCAGTGGGTACATTATGTACCAAAATCTGGAATGCGATAGTGAGGAATGATCCACTATAATCAGAAATTTCGTAGTTTGTACTGCTTGATGGCCCATCAGGGAATATAGCAAATCCAGAAGGTAATAGCGGAACACCATCAGGATTCCCACCACATAATACCATGTCTATTGCACGAATATCAATAGGTGCATAAACAATAAATGACCCTGTTGGATCAGTGATGTTCTCTTGAAATATCAACATATCGTTTTGAGCTGGATTTGGACTCTGCAATTCATGAGCCAATGATTGAAATTCACGCGTTAATTCTTTTCTTCAATCACACTAACTAAATATCATATGAATATGAATCCATATATATAGTTAATTAAAAATGGATTTTAATAGCTTGACCAAACATACTATAAATTTCCTTACCTTGACTCTCAATATGGAGATAGAATTGCCTATTTCCGTTCCATTTGCAATATGAGTAACTTGTTGAATAGTACCCCCATTCGATAGAATGTCCCACTGTAATAATTCAATGATATATATTACTATTTAAAATAATTACTTCTAAATATTCAAAAATAATTGGCTGATCTTAATGAATAAAAAAATCATAAAATTTGAGAAAATTGTGTCAAAGATAATATAAACTACTTCCTATAAATATATACTGAGTGGTACCTTGCCCCTTGTGTTTTCATTCCGAAGGAAATCAAAGACAAGTTTTGGAAGAACGGGCAGCCAGATGGAAGTTGAAGCGCACAACACAAGGCCCCGTGGTCTCCCTGGATCGTTTATGCTCTGCCTAGTCATGACTTGAACATCGTTAGTATTATAGCCACTTCTTGTGAAAGTTGTCCATTGGTGTGTTGTTGTTCCACTCACTCCTGAAATATAATCTATTATCATTCTTTCCCCAAGCTTCAACGCGCTTTTTCTTTGCTCTTTATCTCTTGATACTGTAAAGGCAATGATTATATATTATAATGTGAGTTTGAGCATTTGAATTCAATTATTAATTGAAAATGGAGTATGAAAAAGAATTGTCATGTACTTACGCGTATGAGTAATATTACTACTTTGGGGTAAATTTGTGGCTTCTGCACTTGCTAATCGTTCACATTGTCTATCCAAGATAGAAATCCAACGCTTTGCCCCAAATGCAAGGCTGGAATTCACAAAGGTCTTGTAAAAGGTGTGAACTAATGTGTCATCGGCCTCGATATGCTCAACCCATGTGACCTACAACATTGTAAAAGGTTGACTTATGATAATTCAAATTTATAATTTCAGGATAATAAATGTACAAATAATTAACTTAGGTGCATGATTTCTTTTGAAAAATGTTGATACAAGGATCGAGACTCCATGAGTAATCAGCTTGCCCCTTAGTCATTATTAGACATAGTATATGTTTATTGAAATCTTTTACCTTTGAGATATCATTTGAGATTTGTTGAATCACACATCCTGAGGGCCTTTTCCAACACCTAGTAATCGGGGTATGGTCCAGGGAAACATCAACAATTACCCATAGTCCATCAACAATTTTATTGCAAGACCTTACAAAGTAGCAATCTCGATTTGGAATTTGTGGAGAGGGAACTTGAAACTCTGCATATATCTGCCCAACGAATAAATAAAAATAAAGAATAAAATGACACAAAAGGATAGTGTAAATTATTTATAAAATTATAGGCATCCAAGTGCAACCTATATAGAGTAAGAAAGAGAAACATTTAATGACAAAGTACATCATGAACAATTACCATTTTCGTTGATCCATCCAACACATCCATCGTACGTGCCGTCAACACAATACTTGAAAAAAACCTTGCCCAATGATTCTGGTGATCACAAAAGATATGTTATCATCATTATCCTCATTATAATTCCAAATTTGTCTAGACAATTCTTTATATCCAATTTCAATTCTATAACTAGTTTCTATAGAGTAGTGTAGTGAGATGAGTTTAAATTGGATCTCTTCATTCTTAATCAGAAGTTTCAAATTTAAGGTATAGAAATATAAAACCCGATGTAATAACTGCAAATTTAAATTAGTCAGTCAGTAAATATCGAATAGTAAATGATTAATTTCAAAAATATATTTAGAAGTAAAGTGACTATACCGTGTCCATGAAAATCTCCACCAAGTTGATGTGATTCATGGTTACAAGAACACTTTCTCGTGAAGCAGTAGTCTTAATTCCATTAGGCTTAGGCTCATTTCCCCTAGGGAATTTCCTCTTGTATTCTTCTTCATTTAAGTCATTATTTACACCGTCAATGTTTGGAAGCCAAAGTGGCTCGTCCATTCGAGCCATTTGAAGAAGCTCGTACATAGCTGCCCTAGTTACTTTAGCAATATATTGTCTTGAAATGTGAACAACCTAGTAGTAAACAAAAAATAATTAATTGAGCTTGAGTTTGATATATTAATAACAGTCCAAGAAAATATTTTACACAGTTAGATCAATTAAATATAAAATAATTTAGCATCAACGCACTTAACTTAAAAATTTAAACTGTGACGAAATATATCAATCCAACGAGTCAAATAATTTTTTGAAATTTTGATTACCTCTTCTTGTAGGCGAGCATTTTCGAGCCTTACATATTGTTCATTATTTGGCGTTTCACCTAAACGGAAACCATGGTCGCCACAATTAGGGCAACCATTGTTGATAGCTTCACTTAACCACACACATTCAGCCCTAAGCTTGTCATTTTCAGCTCGAAGTGATAAATTCTCACTGTGTTGATCTTGGTTCTGTAAGGAAATAATATTTCGAATCCACAAAATAATAAAAGTTAGCATAAGGACTTGCTAGCTAGTGTTAAATTAATAATAATTTAGCTAATTAATTGCATTTGTAATAATATTAACTTTCAACAAACTACATTAATTACCATGAATAATGATTAAAAAAATGAAATATATACCAGTCTGAATGCATTTATGTAATTCCTAATTGCGTCAAATATTTTGACATACAAGAACAAGAAGTTATATCAAGTATACAGATTATTGTCCAATTATATATCTTCAATTAATGTAGACAATAAAAATTACTATCTCCCTTTCAAAATAAGTTGTGTTTTTGAATAAGTAGCTTTTTTTAAATAATCAACAAGCCACTAAAAAATTTCTTCCAGTTTTGTCATAATTAAAATGAATGAAGTTTTACATAATCAAAGAACAATTAAAGAGCTATATCTTTTTAAGACAGATGATTAAAACTTTGTAACTAAGAACACATTTTTTACTTTTTAGAAGTGAGTAATTTTAAGGGGCCTGCTGAAACTAAAAACACCATGTATTACTAAACAGAGGGAGTATTAGTATCATATACCTTTATTTGGGTACGCCTATTTTGGAACCAAAATTTGATCTGCAAAGGTTCTAACTCTAGCTTATTACTGAGCTCCTTCATTTTCTTCTTATTTGGCTTCGGACACTCCTTAAACAAACTTAATCACAAAAATAACAAAAGATTAATAACATAAACACTTTAGAAAAAAATGGTATTTAGATAGGATAAGATATTTTACGCTTCCATTTCCTCGATATGTTGCTTGGTGTGACGATGATTGCGCATTTTCTTATTTGGATGATCATCATCGTTACCATCTTGTTCATCAAATTTATTGTCACTGTAGTCGGATTTGTTGTTTGCTTCGTCATCTGTAAGCAGCTGCATTATCTCATTTTCCGATATTGTCTCGGACTCTATAGCAAGTGGATTAAGCTGGCTTTCCAACATGCTACTTGACTGACATATACAAATGGTAAAAACTTTGTAACATATAATTAAAATATCAAGAAAGAAAATTCCTATAAGAAATTTTAAAATTTTCAAGACTCGAAACCAAAATTTTAATCAAGAGCATAGGAATCTTAGCCATCTAACAACAAACCTTGATAATAACATGGGCTAGATATCAGACCTCCTTAAATGCCTAAAAAAATCTTTTAAAAAAATATTTTTAATATGACCTAGCCAAGCTGGAGTCTAGATGAAGAAGGAACAAACCCAAGATCATTTTCGGTTACCAAAGAATTCTGATTAGCGAATTAAAAAAAAAAAAACTTTTGGTTAAAAGCAAGGATATTTTAGCAAAGATAATCTGATTAATCAACTAGAAATCAAGCGAAACTCTTTGTTGTTTCTTTTCTAGACTAGAAACTAGAAACAACACAAATATCTAAAAATTATGCATTAGATTCACGGAGATATAAATGGAACATAGAAAACTTTATTAAAAAAAGATAATAAAAAATCTAGAATTTTGACCTGACCAAACGGGAGTCTAGATGAGGAAGGAACATTTTCGATCATTGAAGAATTCTTATTAGCCGAATTCATAATTCTGTCCATTGATCATCCAAAACCCTTAAACAGTGCAACATGTTAGTATAAGTGATGATTTCTCATCTCGTTTACTTTGGTTCTCCAAGGGAATAATAGTTTGAATGCACAAAATAGTAAAAGATAGAGAAGGACTCATAAGCTAGTTCCAAATTAAATGATTTAGCCAATTAATTACAGTAATAATAATCTTGACTCACAACAAACAACATTAATTGCCGTAAACAATGATTTAAAAAAAAGTGAATACATATTAATTAATCATAGAATACTGATCCCTCAAGTGTGAATGCAATTATTGTAGTCAAGAAAATTATAACTGTCTCAAATATTTTGTCGTATGCAGTTATTGTAGTCAACAAAATTATAATTGTCTCAAATACTTTGACATACGACAAAAAGAAATTATACCAAGCATAGAAATTATTGTTCGACATTAAATTTTTAATAAATGCAGACAAGAAAAATTATCACCTCCATTTCAAAATAAGTTATTTTTATCTTTTTTGTTTCTTTTAAGATATGTAGTTTTTCACCCATCAATAACAAATTGAAAATTTTCTTCCAAATTTTTCCTTATTAAAATAATGAATTTTACGTAAACAACAAACCATTAAAGAGATACTTCTTTTTAAGACATTTGATTAAAAGTTTGTAATGAAGAACACTTTTTGCTTTCTTAGAGTAAGTAATTTTCTTAAGGAGTCTACTCAAACTAAAAACATCAGATATTGTTAAATAGAGGGAGTACAAGTATTATATGCGATTATTTGAGGTACGCCTGTTATGCCGTTATTTTACTATATTTAGAAAAATCACTTTTTGAAATGTTCTAAGTATAAAACAATTTGAGAAAAATATTTAGAAAGAGTCGTCACTTGATTTTTTAAGGAAATTAAGAAAACTTAATTTGAAAAGACTCCAACAGATTAAGTCCTTAAAAATTTAGAGAAAATGGGTAAGAGGTTCTCATTTACACTTCAAGAAAGTTTTTAAAGCATTCGAAGTGTCCGCTAACATGCGGTTATCCTACGACTTAGATTAAATATTTGACTATTTTTCGGAAAAAAAAATTTAACATAAAATAATAATTTACAATATTTGATTACTTTGAAAAAATAGTTAAATAAATGACACATTTTATTTTTAGAGAAAGGGACATAAAAAGAAACATTTGAATTAAAATGCAAGTGATTAAGATTTTAAAAAAAATAGATTTATTAGAATTCATTTGTATTATTTCAAAGATAATAACTTAAACTGATTGAATTAATTAAAGAGAGTATCTTTTAAATTAAATAAAGACAAGTGAAAGTTTTGACTAAAATATTTAAGTGTGTAGAAAATACAAGAGTTGATAAAATGAAAATTGTTAAAACAAAACAACACAAAGAAATAGTTCATCTTTAGGGGAATTCGATTAAGTTAATTAACAATTCTAAAGTGTTAATAAACAACAAGCAATAAATAATCGCAATTAAATAATTTAAAAGTAAGGGAGAGAAGTTGAATTTGGGCCTTTCTTGGGCCAAATTCACTGTTGCTTTTGGGATTTAACCCAATTCCCCTTTTAATATACATCTGTTGTATATCAGTGTATATTGGATGTATACAGCCCATTTTTCTGTTTTCCGGGACCTGTACGTCAGCTCCAAAGACTTGTTCTTCAATTTATCAAGGTTGGATGACTCGATAAAAGAATTTTGGGCCTTTATGGCCCATCCGAAATATGAAGTGGAGAAAGATGGAGTCCAAGGGAACTCGGATGGTATCACATGAAAACAAAGTAAAGAAATAAATTAGCAGGAGCAAGAAGAATATGACATTCAGACTATTAACAACAATTTATTGTTTCAGTAAATGAAAGATGCAAGCCAGAATTTACGCTCTACAGTAGCGTCACATAATGAATTAGTTGGATTATTTAAAATTGCTAAGGCAAGGCATAAAAATAAATACTCAATGAGCAAGCTAAGAGTAAGACAAATATTTATCTTCCACATTAAAAGTAAACTTGCCTAAACTTGAACATTACTCACAATTAATTCGATAGACATTAGATGTATTTGCTTATGGGGACAAGAATTAATTACCGAAGGGAATTGGGAAGGATGAAAACAGTGATGACATAAAAGAAACAAAATAGGAAAACTTATGCCCTTAATAAAAAATACTCAACTAAATCTACACTAGCTACGTCTTCACTAGACAAAGAGAGTAATTAATTACACTAAGAAAACTAGCTACAGTAAGCATGTGATTTCCTAATGAACAAAGAAAAGGAAAAGATCTCAATTTGAACATGGAAGACAACACTCATAAGGAAACTCTAATAGGCTGAATAATAATAGAGAAATACAGATACACAAATTTATTAAACAACCTTCAAACCACATGGCTATGACAATCATGCTCTCACCACATTTTGTTGGGTTATGAAGGTGAATAGGGAGTCATGCGGAATCTTACAGTTGCAAATAATATGGTTGATAAATTATACGACACATAAAACTATACTAAAGGATATAATATTATTATTTGATATGACCAATTGGCCTACATAATTAAAAACTAATAAAAAGCATAAAAATTGTAGAGAGAAAATCTCCTCATAAACAAAACTCTCTAAACAACTACATTGTGGATTCTATTGTGTTCTGCTATGAGAATATGTGTCTTCAATTTATAGATCTCCAAACTTTCCTCTAAGGAAAGAATAAAGCAAATATGGAAGAAAATTATATTTTTCTTTGAGAAAAAGTTCAAGCATTTATGGTAATAATTTGACTTTTCTTTAAGAAAAAAAAACTAAACTTCAAATAAGGTAAGAAAATCAAGGAAAAACCCTAACAAATCTCCCCTTTTGTCTGGATTTTCTTCATAAAACTTGATCCCCTTTCTTCATACAATCTTCATGTATCACTGCTGCGTACCATGGTTAAAAATTGATATGAGTTAGAAGTTGGAGCCTTGTGTTAAAAGTTACAAGCAGGGTTGAAAGTGGAGCTAATGCGTTAAAAGTAATATGCATGAGTTTAAAGTGGATCTCATCCGTTAAAAGTAAGATGCATGAGTTAAAAATGGAGCTCATGCGTTAAAAGTAAGATGCATGAGTTAAAAGGGGAGCCCGAGCATTAAAAGTTTGTTGGTGTTGAAAATTGATTTTGGTTTTAAGGATGGAACAGCAGGATTATTGAAAATATATTTGAAAATCTCCTCACATGTAGTAGCACAAAAATATTCATTATCATCAAATTTGTTGCAAATTGATTTGAAACCACTTGAGCCTGCCTTCAACCTTATTGAACCATAGGATCATCGAACCATGGGATCGTTGGACCATGTCCTCTGATACCACTTGTTGGTTATGAAGGTGAATAAGGGGTCATGCGGAAGCTTACAATTGCAAATAATATGGTTGATAAATTATACAACACTTAAAACTATACTAAAGGATATAATATTATTATTTGATATGACCAATTGGCCTACATAATTAAAAACTAATAAAAAGCAAAACAATTGTAGAGAGAAAATCTCCCCATAAACAAAACTCTCTAAACAACTACATTATGTATTCTATTGTGTTCTGCTATGAGAATATAGATCTTCAATTTATAGATCTCCAAACTTTCCTCTAAGGAAACAATAAACCAAATTAGAAGAAAATTACATTTTCCTTTGAGAAAAAGTTCAAGCATTTATGGTAATAATTTGACTTTTCTTTAAGAAAAAAAAAACTTCAAATAAGGTAAGAAAATCAGGGCAAAACCCTCACACATTTAACTAGGCCGGTGAAGTTTTAACAGATAACCAAGCTGGGTTTATAAATCAAAAGGAAACAGGCAACAAACTCCAGTAGATTAACACAAGCTAATATTGAAACCAAGCTATTAACCCAACACACCATTCCAAAATTTAAGCTAAAGCAGATAGGCACCACACACCTAATAGCCAATTGAACGAAAATAGCTAACCAAACTTAGACGACAAGATATATCCATGTAAGCGACTTATTCGAAGGAAATCGAACTATTGTATCAATGAGACTCAAAGAGAGAGACCACCAACCGTGTTCAACAATAAGATCGCCAAAATGTCATGAAAGAGATAACAATAACAAAGAAGAGCAAGTTGAGCAGCAGCTAAGGGCTTTAACTAAAATGAGACTACCATAGAAGGAAACTAAGGAATACTTTGATGAAAATGCAACTCGAATCGCAGTAAACCAACAATAAATACAAAATACAACATACTCGATACTCCAAATCATATAAAGATGTGTAACACCACTAATCAATACTTGAAATCTTGAAGAGAATCACTACTCAAACAGTGACAAAAACAGCACACAAATTATTCTAAAAGAAAGAATGAGAAATAGGAACAAGAATATTACCTTT